ACTGGAGAGGCGTGGGGAGGAATCAGCGACCCGGCTACCATTGTTGCCCTGAAAGGATTTGACGCCATGACTCACCTCACCATTCAAACGGTTCGCGAGGTGATGAAAGCCATGTTGGAGTCGTCCTGCTTCGATCGGGTGGCGAATAAGGTATGAGTACCGTGTTAGTGTCGTGTCGCTGATTTGCCCGGGATGACCTTGAACGGGTCGAGCTCCTGTAAATGCTGCAGCCTAATATTGTACGCTTTTGCAAGGTGGCTGCAGCTCCTGTAAATGCTACGGCCTAATACTGTATGCATTTGCAAGGTCGTTGGAGTAGCAGAGCCTCGTTAACCTTCTGCGCTAGCTTAAAAATAAAAATAAAAATCAGGAGCCCGGTAAGACGCTTTTCGGACAGTATGGAACTAGATTTCTGTTTCTCTTCTTAACCCAGATGAAGGTTGTCTCTGCAAACCCTGGAAAAGTTGTCTGTGAAATGAAAGTTGAAGAACAGCACACAAACAGAGGAGGAACGCTGCATGGGGGCCTGACAGCAACTTTAGTAGACATTGTGTCAACAGCTGCATTAATGTACACTGAAAGAGGAGTACCCGGTGTTAGTGTGGACATGAATATTACGTGGGTATCAAGTTTGGTGTATTCTCATGCTTGTTTGCTTTTACCGGAGCCTTCATTCTTCACTGAGTAAGGGCAAATCCAACTTGTGTTAATTCCAAGAAAGCATCAGGCCAGTGCTGAGATACTACAAGCTGGGTAAATTTTTAAAACTTAACTGCTGAAATACTTTTTTAGAAAACTGGACTTCTGTATCCAGATTCTTTAGAAGTTCTAAAAGGTAGTGAAACATTCATTAGTCATGCTTTTAATTATTTTTGTAGTAGGCCATTACTATTCATTACTATTACTATGTAAGAAGTGAAAGAACTGATAGCAGAAACATCTGCCTTATAGCAATCAGAGATTATTGCACCTCTCTAAATTAGTATTCCATATTTACATAGAGTAGCACTCCAACTTCAGGTAGAACCTTTTCCTGATCATATTGGAGATTGGATAAGATGAGCGGCATGATGGCCTAGAGGTGGAACTCTTGCCTCACAACCAGGAGTCTATGAGTTCAATTCTAGGTAGAACAGAGATTTCTCCCTCTGGATGCAAAGGGAAAACTATCTGCTGTGAGCTCCTCGTAGGCATCCAGTCAGTAAGTGCTCAGCTCTGTTCAGTCCCGTCCCCCCCCCCCCGACTCCACCCTGATGCAAGGGATTACAGGGTTGTTAAAAGGAAAAAAAAATGGAGATTGGATGAGGACTCTCTGGGTGCAATATATACACTTTACTCTTAAGTCTGCAGGCTTCTCCAAGCTGTCTGTTATATATGAACAGCCTACTATTCAAAGTCCTCAGACCTGTCACTCTGAGCCACATCCTTTTCACTGTATTCTGTTTTAAAGTACGTGTCATACAGAAAGATTTTTATATAAGCAAAATTGAATTAAGAAATTTATGGTGGCATCTATCATTCTGCTCTTCCCAAAACTGTGTGGGATAAGAGTGACTAAAAATAATGGATTGGGTCATTCTGCAAATATCTCGGCTAAGCAGGTACAAAAGATATCTAACAATTTATTCAGGACTCCTTTTATTAAACAGTCAAAAAGTTTCATAGGCAGGAAATTCAGTGGCTGACTTTGATTTAGTCTCTTCTATCTCTCTCTGCCTCAAAATGCTTAAAGGACAGTTGTAAGGATGTATTAGGGATGCGGTGGCTCAGTGGCTAAGATGCTGAGCTTGTTGATCAGAAAAGTCGGCAGTTGGCGGTTCGAATCCCTAGTGCCGCATAACGGAGTGAGCTCCCATTACTTGTCTCAGCTTCTGCCAACCTAGCAGTTTGAAAGCATGTAAAAATGCAAGTAGAAAAATAGGGACCACTTTGGTGGGAAGGTAACAGCGTTCTGTGCGCCTTCGGTGTTTAGTCATGCCGGCCACATGACCAGGGAGATGTCTTCGGACAGCGCTGGCTCTTTGGATTTGTAATGGAGATGAGCACCACCCCTAGAGCCGGAAACGACTAGCATGTATGTGCAAGTGAAACCTTTACCTTTAAAGATTTATTGTACCGTGTTTCTCATATAATAAGGCCAGGTCTTATTTTTTTTTGAGCCCCGAAAAAATGGCTAGGCCGTCTTTTCGGGGGTGACTTAATTTCCTTGCATCTTCGGGCAGGCGGGCGGCGACGGCTTGGATGTTGATCTTGGCGTTGGTGGGGCACTTTGTATCAGGGTCAATGCAGGCAGCACCATATCCGGGTGTGCAACAAAAGTACTTCCTGACGGCAAGCCCCCCCACCATTTCCCCCCCATTTCGCATGTTTTAATATAGGCCTTAATTTGGGGGGAGGGGCTTAATTTCATTTCATGCCTATAAAACATGCTGGGACTTCCTATTGGGGGAGGCCGTATTGTTGGAGAAACAGGGTACATATAACCAATACTTTCCCCCTTCTTCTGTATTCTAGGTACATGTCATCAGCTAAGATTGGGGAAGAAATCCTGATCACTGCTGAAGTTCTGAAGCAAGGAAAAACTCTGGGTTTTGCCAATGTGAATTTAACAGATAAGACAACAGGAAGATTGATAGCTCAAGGGAGGCACACCAAGCACTTGGGATTCCAGTCATAAAAAATAAAATAAAATCCTGGGAAGAATGCAGGATGGAGGAGTGTACCCCGGCAAGTTTCAAAAATTGAAGTGCAGCCATTGGGTAATGAAATAATATTGCAGTGTTGAAATCTGTTGTTTAAATTAAATTGTTGGCCCAGGGTCAGATTTGTTGGTGTGTAAATGTACATGCATGTCTGCACAGGTATTTATATTTATGTACAAACATGTCTAGGGTAGACGGATGAGGTCTGCCTTTTATTTGTTAATGGAACATACATGTAAGAAATAGTTTCTCCTGCTAGGAAAAATAGTACAGTGGAGCTAATATAAGTGATCCTTGAAGCACTGAAGACAAGAGGCAGATAAAATAGGATTTTTCTCCTGAAACTTAAAGTTTGTTTTGAGGTTCAGTTGTGGGAGGGATAGGTGATGCACAGCTTCTAAGCCACTGTTTCTCAACTTCAAGCAACTTTTTAAGCTTGGCTGGCCAGGGAATTGCAGGAGTTGAAGTCCACACAGCTGCAGGTTGCTGAGGTTGAGAGACATTGTTCCAAGCACTGGATTGAATCAAGAAGAGAAGCTGTTTTCCCCCAATGAAATTTTTCCCCTGCAGCTCTGGGAGGAACAAAACACTCAGGGAAGCGATTTTCCACCTTTGGGAAGAACATAAAACGCAATGCTAGGCACTACAAGGAGTGTTTTCAAAAAGGTAATGTAGGATTCAACCCATTATGTTTGCAGGGGCTGCAGATGCCTTTTGTATTTGTGCCTTTAAGCCACGGGGTTCACCTTAATGTATATTTTTTTTTAATCCAGTGTCGAATGAGTGACCACCTAATAAAACAAAGTGAAAGTCCAAAATCTTTTAAATGGCAGTATTCTTTCCAAAGGAATTTGTCTTGTTAAAAAGAGTGGATGCTGCTATTCGGTAACATTTTGATTTAGAAAATCTCAGTTTCAATGTAGAATCATTTCTGCTATGCATACTGCACCACCAGCAAGAAGATTTCATTCCTTATTTTTGCACACTTTCTTACACTTTTTTATTTAAAAACTATCCCAGAATCAGCTGCACTGATTGTAGTTGAGTGCAAAAAAAGCCTAAGTGGTGGAAGGGGAAAGCAGAGTTATGGATAAGATGGGTGGATAATAATAATAATAATAATAATTAAATAATAAATAATAATAATAATAATTAAATAATAAATAATAATAAATAATAATAAATAATAATAAATAATGAAGAAGAAGAGGAGGAGGAGGAGGAAATAATAATAAGAAATGGTGGTGGCTTGGCTATTGTGATTTTGTAGGGTGGTCGGTTCTTTTGTGGCGCTTGGCTAATTATATTTCAGACATTGAATTGCTCTTTCCATTGCTCACGATCCCATAACTGTGATGATCTCTAGAAAGATTTCTAAAAAGAAGAAACTCCCTACATTGATCAGCTTCTCCCTAGTGGTTTTGCTTGGGTTCAATGTTTTATTGCAGCCAATTCACTGCAGGTGGCAGAACTTAACAACCTAAGTAGGGTCAATCCTTTTTAGTAATTGGATGGTAGAACACTGGGAAACTTCAGGGCTCCAGGCTATATTTATTTGTTAAATTTATTTGCTGTCCATCTCACCACCAGACTACTGTGGCCAGCCTGCAACAGTAAAATGGGGAAAGTAATTAAAAAGTGTAAATATAACAATAACAAAGCAATGAAACAAGAAAACCAAACAAGGAAAATGCAATGATATGAATTTAAAAAGATAGGTGGAGGGAAGCAGGAAACAGTGGGTTGTGGGGGGATGGGGTCAGCTAATTAATCCAGTAGCCACCTCCAGTGTGGTACTCTCTTATTGGGCCATCTCTTCAATTGAGCACTCAGCTCTCTTACACACTGACGCACCCCAAGACTACTTCATTGGTTGTGAATATGCTTGATTTGAAGGTAAATATGCCTCTTGTGGTTTTCAGCAAATTGCAGTGTTTGCCTTTTGCCTTTTTAGACTGTCCCTCTCCATTTTATAAGAGCAAGCGGCATCATTACATCTTATTCAGAGATTTGATGCCTGCATCAGTGAAATCTACCAGGATTGGATAGATTAGATAGAAATAGATGGAAATCAATGACCGCAGTAGATCTGGATGGAATGAAAGAATAGTATTCTACAATCCAAACATCAGGGGCCTTATAGTACATTTTTAGACTATCAAACTATATTAAAAGGCATTAGCTTTTTTGTGAGCTATGGCCTGAAAAAGTACCACCACTTTTCTGATTTGTTTATTGCCATCGACTAACAGAACTCCTCTACGATATTCCAGAAGCAATCATCTGCCCTTGCGCTACAACTTTTTGACCTAGTTTGTGCAAAGTGCTTATAAAGCCATACAGTAAAATAGCAGGGGATGAAATAGCTCCTTAGTGCTCCCTACAGCGAAGCTATCATGCTTGTTAAACATCTTCTAGAACTGGAATTGCCTGAGTGGGCTGTTTGCAATTTAAACGACGACTCAATTGCTACCGGTTTTGACTTCAGTGGTTATTCCCTGTCCTCATTCTGAGCAGGAGGGGAAACAAATACAAGAGATCCTATAGGGAAGCCAATCGAGTTGTTAAAATGAAGGCAGCATGTCGAACAACAAATGGAACAGAATTGCACAAAGATAGAAAATAACTGGCTTGGGAAGCATCATTACAAAGATGGAATATGTAAAAACCCCAAAGTTGAAACGAATGCATTGTGTCAGAAAGGGCACTGATAGCAGATCAGATAACCCTCTTCAAATCTTTTCCAAGGAGTCTACCCTTTGGAGTGGATTTGGAGTTACGGGGGAAAGGAAATTTAATGTTCAGTACTCAGTAGTTGGCCAGCATAACATTGACTCCTTTGCTCTTGGAGAAAGAGGGGCATCTAAACTATTTTTTCCTCTTATGAAGACCAGTGATGAAAATAATGTATTTTTTAAAAATATTTCTATTCCAGAGTTCCATTAACTAATTAATTTATGGGGTTCCCTCATAGCTAGACACTCTTCTCCTATTTAACGTTCACATGATGCTGTCAACCATTCAACAGTAGAAGGTGAGATATAGTTAGCCCTTGACTTGCAACATTTAGTTCATTTAGTGACCATTCAAAGTTACAACAGCACTGAAAACAGTGACTTACAACCATTTTTCACAGTTACCACCTTTGAAGCCTCCGCATCATCATGAGATCAAAATTCAGATGCTTGGCAAGTGGTTCATACTTATGACTACCATTGCTGTGTCCCAGGGTCTTGTGATCAGCTTGTACAACCTCAATGGGAAGGCAGATTCATTTAACCACCGGGTTACTTATCAGCTGCAGTGATTTATTCAACTGTGGCAAGAAAGGCCATAAAATGGGGCAGAACTCATTTAACAAACATCTCGCTTAACAACAGACATTTTGGACTCAATTGTGGTCCTAAGTCGAGGACTATCTATAGATGATATTCAGCTTTACATCTCCACCCTAGCTGGACCATTTGAGTGCCGCCTCAGTGTCTGGAGGCAGTGAGAATCTGGACGAGAACAGGCTTCACTTAATCCTAGCAAGAAGTAGTTTTGGATTTTAGGGTTTCCTGGATCGGGTCATTTTCCATCTTTGGATCTAGACAAGAGTAGACTGCCTCAAACAGAACCACTGCAATTTTGGGGTTTAACCTACAGGCTCCTGTTCAAAGAGCCAGTAACAACTATGGATGGAAGTGCTTTTACCCAACTTTGTTACATGTGCCAATTGCACCCTTTCCTGAATTAGGTGACTTATTCATATCTTGGTATGTCCCAAATGGATTGCCACAATGAGCTCTACATGGGGCTTGCTCTTGAACAACATCCAGAAGCTGTAGCTGGTCCAGAATGCAACAAAACAGGTACACTTTGGAGCACCAATGTTAATACCTCAGTCCCCCAAGTTCCACTGGTTCCTAGGATGCAGTTTGGGTTGCTGCTTGTCACCTACAAAGGCACCCATGCTTTGGGACTGGATTATTTGAAAGACCCCGCTCTCCAACTGCATCTATTTATCCGTGCAGGTTGAAAGAAGAGGCACGCTGTAGGTCCCATTGATTGAAAAACGCCACCTTATTGGAACCAGAAAATGGGCTGTTTGGGTTGCAATGCCTGTTCTTTGCAACACCACACCCATTCCACCTGTTCCAAAATTAGATTGGACCCTACCAGCTTTTTAGAAGGATTTGAAGACATGGATGGAGGTTGGATGTTTACTAGGAACCTATATGGTGGGGGTTGATTTACTGTAGATTGATTTTTAGCCTTTCTAGGTTTAATAAGCTGTCATGTTGGACTTTTTGTTGCTGGCCACCTAGTCACATCATAGTGAGATGGTTAGCTATACAGATATGTTGAATGATAATAACGGAACCTACACATTATGGTTTTTAGTAGTAATGGTCATAAAATGGGATAGTTGCATGGCTGACCCAATGCTATAACCTATTGTTGTGGTAGTCATTAAGCAAATGCTGTGACTATAAAACAAACATCAGAGTCATTAAATGAATGCTGTGGTCATTAAGTAAATCCATTGTTCTTTAGTTTTGCAAAACCATTGTAAAACATGATCATGTGATTACAGGGAATTGCAAATGGCCACAAATGTCGCCATGTTGCCAATTGCCCAAATTACAGTCATGTGGCTGCAGGGGAGGCAACTGTCATAAGTTCAGAGCCAAGTTGTAAGCACCCTTCTTTTGGGTCTGTCGTAACTTAGAATGTTTGGTAAGCGACCAGTTATAAGGAAAGGACCACTTGTACAAATCAAGTAATTACACTGAATTTTTCATCCGTGTTAGGATTTTAAAATTAAAGATCTTTAAAAATTAAAGTGTGTATATTTATGCAAGACATGTCACATGTTTACAAAAAGTGTAGATACCCTTAAGTTCTATGTATTTAGGAATAAGATCAAACCAGCGGCCTTTTATAAGAGTGTTTCATGGGCTTGACTGGTTCAAGCTAGTTTGTAACAAAAAAGCAATGTGAGAGCATTATATAACACCAAGTATGTTATCTAATTTTTAATTTACATTTCTGTATCCTGTATCCTTAAAAAAAAACCTTAAATTTTAGGTATTTCACATAAAGATTTCTTCTTTCATAATATAAGGCAAAGC